TTATAATCATCGATCAGTCTAAGTTTTATTTTGTCAATAAATGTAAATATCCTTTTTGGTTAACAAAGGATGCAACCGAATCTGTAAATTAAGACAAGTATGCGAAAAACTTAAGTTTTCCAACCACCATTATTGCCTTGTTTACAACTATAAAATCGGAAGTAAAAATAACAATTAGGACAGCGTATACTAACTATTTGATTTTTGTTGTGAGTTGTATACAATATCACTTCTTTTTGAAATTATGTCAAGTCCAAGAGACATACATCTAGTTTTGTATTAAAGTCTTCTGTCAAGAACTACACGAATGTAAATGTTACTGTGGACAAGGTAGCTGAAACATTTGCAAATAGGTGTAATAAATTTAAGAATATTGTATTAGTAAAAGTATCATATACATTTGTCATTGATATCACTGTATTAAATAATGTATTACCTAATTATTTGTAGGGAGTAAATTAGTTAGTAGACTATCTATTAATCGATTTGCAAGGTACATTATGAATATTTCATAATGTAGCTTGTAAATCGATTAATGTATTTAAACCAGACGCTCGTCAAATAATGCAGTTCAAGGCGGAAATGTAGTGAGGGATACATCAGGATTAGAATGTGTGTTACAGAACAAGAAACTGATGACAATAGTTGGAATAACTAGTCAATGTCAACGCACTCGATAAAAGCGCGGGATTAAAAAAGGCGCGAATATGTGCAAGTACTACTGTATAACCAACGACAACACCTATGAAAAACCAGACATAAGCTATATTACAACCAGGCCTACGAAAAAGTCAAACTATGTAAATAATGAATCACTGAATATGATTAGACGAAATCACAGAGGTACAAACTATGTTAGATATTTACGTGGTAAAGGAGTGTAGTTTCCTGATAGGTCTAAACAACGTCATCAGTTACCAAATCAATTATTTTTACTAGTTTTAGTCATACAATTGTTCTCATTTAAACTTGCGCTATTATGCTAATTCAACCTAGGGCAGATGTAGTTCCCACAATATATCTATACTTACACGAGGAGAGCGTGGTTTCGGTGATTTTGTAAAGTAAGAAATAATAGATGTAGAAAGAAATGTGTAGATTTTGAACTTTTTTCTTTTTTCATTGATTTACTGTGTTGATCATGCACCACAGTGCTTTGTACTGTAATTATTTTCTGCCATTATGAAAAATTCATTGCCAATATTTCTTTCAAGGTCCCTTGCATTATTTTGCGTGTACTAATATGTAGGTATAATTTGTTTATAATACAAACATGTTTACATTCAGACCAGTAACGCCGTTTATATGTTTATTATCTATGTCCTACTAGGTGTACAATGCAGTTGTCTGCTTGCAATTTTGAGCGGAGCTATCATAGTACTGTAATCCAATACTTTTGCAAAGTCAATGCTAAATATAGTTCACGTAATTGAGATGTCTCCTACAAGTCCACTAAGTCAATTGTATAATTGTTTCTCATAAATGGGATGACTACTTGTAGTATCCAAAGTCAATGCTTTATCTGTTTCTCTTAAATGAAATCTCTACTTGCAGTATCTAAAGTTAATGATAAATCTATGCTAAAACTATTGCCTTGGGTGTAGTACGCCAGTGTCACGGTGATAACGGCGGGAGTGGTCGTGGTAGGCACGGATGAGTCGTTGTTCTTGCAAGGCTGTTTTTTGCCTGTCTTCTGGCTCAGTCAGCACTTACACCATCGGGAAGAGATAGTACATCCAAACTAACAAAAATAGGTTCCAAGGACCCATATTAGATTTAATACAATTGGCGGCAAACGTTATTGTTGATTAGTATGTTAAATAACAATAAAACTGTTGTAGGAGTTTGTTCCTAACCGTAGGTGCTCTGTATAATATTTAAATCGCTAAAATTATACCCCAACAATCAACGTTTACAATCGTGATACGTAAACAAATGATCCAATAATATGTAAGCCGAAGGATCGTCGTAAATTAATGTCTTTCGTGTAATACAACAATATGATAATAAACAATGTTACTATATCACTAATAACGTGTACGTAGACCGTCGTAATTAGGCTCAAATTAAAATATAATAATGCAATGTCAGTATTAAACAATCTTAATACTTGTGCGTAACAATATTGCTGTACTACAGAGAAACAAGGGTTTTCGAGTCGCTGTTGAATAATAGGACAACAAGAAATTTAATAATAATACGTTAATGAATACTATTACTATTAAACAGTTTCAATCCCAAATATTTTACGGGCAAGCAAGTCGGTTGTATTATGCAGAAATAAAGCCTATAGTAGAATTATGAACGAGGAAACTCAAATAGTAAACCGCACGATTACCGTTATCAAACAGCTGATTGGGCCCCTCTTATCTCTTGCCCATTCATCCAGAGTACAATTGACGAGCTTAAACAGTGTACAGTACATTTCTTTTTACGTACAGGTCTAGAAGGGTAGGTACAGGTCGACTAGCATTTACAATTCTCACCAAATATTTGGTAAACTGAATGATAACTGAAAGATAACTGAATGCTCTGACATGAAGCAGTGTTCTTCTTTACCTATAAAACAAGGTTGACACCTTTCTTCACTGATCACGTAATGCGTGATTTTCTATAAAGTCTTGGAAAAATAAAAGGAAAAATAGATAGACTACAGGTGTACTGTATGTGGTTTACACACAAATATTCATCAAACTGTGTGATAGTTTGTTATAGCAATGAACAGTTTGAGAGTATCGTATTGTTTAAGTCGATGGAAAATCTCTGTTGATCCTGTTTTACAAGCAAACCAAAAAGATACAGTAGTCACCACTCTATGCGACATATTCTAGCCAGAAAATTGTAATCGTATGATTCTATAAGCATTGGTAGGATTGCAAAGTACTACACAAACATTATTTCAAGGGTAATAACAGTCACAATTTCCGCTGACTTTAAAAGAGTCAACTAAACTATTATACTAATGGACACACAACTAAATGGAACAACTAATGGAAATTCTCACGATGTACATTCGTTCGATATAAGCATTGAGTATACACGTCAGTACATACGTGTATACCCAATGATATAAGCAACGGTTCTTGCAATTTATTGCTTATTGTTTTTTAGAGTTGTTTTCGGACTTACTCACACTCGTATAAGGTTTTCCACGTTTGTCATTGATAATGTAGCCATGTTGCTTTGAAATGGCGACCATACAAAATGTATGCATTTTAAGCCAAGTATGAATGGAGATGAGTGTGGGATGAGTGGAGCGATCTTGTTGTCCTGTTTGTGACTAAGGCCGACATAATCCTTAGACACAGCTGTTAATTAATAGTGCATACAGTCAATTAATAGCAGCAGAGGTCAAGTTTGGTATCAAATTAAAGGTTTTATTCATAAAAATACATTGCTGCAAACCCAAACTCAAACGAGGATGATGATAATAACGTTAATGATGTCGCTAAAACGTATCGTTTGAAATTTAACAGCTGAAAATAAGTGAAATAGAAAAGGTTTTGGTTAAATCCATCAAATTGTAATTGGACACTAGTAAATACTAGTGCACTTGTTGCTACCTCCCCCCTTCGGTTTCATGTATTCCTCTCAATCAGTTCAAACCTAGGAGGATTAAACATTAATGTTAATTAATGTTAAATCCTCCTAGATTCAAACCTGAAACACCCAGATCGAAACTCGCCTGTCGTTATTTTACCATCGCCTGTTTTTTAAATATATTTTTCAAAAAAGAAATATTATATTGATTTACTTTGGTTTTTAAAAATGTTAACGTTTTATTTTGTTAAAGACTTATGGTGATACGTAAATATTGTGGTGTAGTAGAGTATATTATATTGTAGTTAAGTGTTAAATTTTGAAATTTTAGGGTGAATCGAGATGAATCTTTGTTTATAACATGGGTCTCTCCTACCTTAACATACATACCAAGTTTGATAAACATCGGTTGGAAAAGTGCAAAGATAAATATTTGTATGTAAAAAATACAAAATGGCGGATATCTGGTTAACGAAATTATTTTGGAAAAAATGTTATCCTTGATTTTCTGTTTATTTTGACCCAAGGAATTACTAGGTAAAGTATCTCCCCGCTTATTTTAACACCCTGTTTATGATGTATTCTTATAAGTGAAAAATGTTAGCTGGTAATAAAGAAAGATGTTTTATAAATAATATGAATGTACTGGTGATCTGTATATTCACCTTTTTCTTGTCCTTAGATAAATTAAATTAGATAAATTAAAAGTCCACTCAGCAGTCGCATCGTACGATGTAGTTCTTTCCATGCGTTGCGAAATGCTGCATTTGCCGTCCTCTTCAACCCAACCCACATAGCACCGAATATTTATTTGATATCAAATAGCTATCAAATTTTTGACATTTGAATATCAAATTGATATATACGAACATTCGTTTGATATCAAATAAACGTTCAATTTAGGTTCAAACGTCACTCAATTTTACATCAAATAAATATTCAAATTGAATATAAAATAAATATCAAATTTGACATTCATAAATTTATTGGTAAAATATAATAAAGAGAATATAATTGAATTTACATTCACATTTTAAATATGATGGTGATAAATATTGATATAACATTTTTGACATTCGAATATTAAATTAATATTCGCGAACATTCATTTGATATCAAATAAATGGTCAATTTAGGTTCAACCTCACTTAATTTGACATTAAATAAATATTAAATTGAATATCAAATAAATGTCTCATACATTTATTGGTAAAATATGTTTAGAAGAATTAGGTTGCATTTTTTCACATTTCAAATTTCATGGCGATTAAAAAAATATCAGTTCAGACTTCTTTACAGTTCTTACCTTGATTTGACTTATTATTCTGAAGTTATAGGTAGTTTGTTAAAGTTCTTGGGTGACCCAAAAATGTAAATATATATATTTCTTATTTGACAAAACATTAACAAAAGTATCACAAAACATATTTGTTTAAAACAAAATTGCATTCAAGGAAAACATTTTAAAGAAAAAACTTTGTTTGTATGATAAAATAAGTTTAATTAAAAATTATTTAAACACAAATATAAAAAAGATATGTACAATTTACAAAAAAAATAATTCTGGTCTTCTTCATCTCCCAAATGGCCTTCTTGAGTTTTCTATTGTTCCTGTAAAAGAGGTTCAACAGAGTTATTTTCTAAGACAGCTATAGATAAAATATAATATGTTAGACAAGGGGTCTCCAACCCTTTTTCCTCGGTGAGCACTTTTTTGTCTAAAAACGCCACCGATTTAGCGACTAACGTTAATTGTTCGCTACTCTATCGAATCACAACATCATCTACTGTCGATGCGATTGTAGTTGTCGTTTGTCACAAGGTAAAGGCTTTTTGTGATACGGACGAAATGAGAGTATTCTATTATAAAATTAAAATGTCGTAACCTAACCAAATTAACCAAACTTGCTGATTGTGAAAAAATTGAATTAAGGTTTACTACGGACAAAATGAGAGCATTCTATTATAAAATTAAACTGTCATAAGCTAACCTAACTTGCTGATAATATAAAAAAATATACAAGATAAAAATTGAATGAAGATTAGATTTAACAAGGTTAGGTTTGCAGCCATGGAGAAGGTAAAAAGTTTTTTTGAGCATACGTCAATAGTATAGGATAAAGTAAATAAGTTTGCCAAATTTTATAAAAATCTATCCATAAACAAATTAACTATATAGTTTCCTTTTTTAATAATCTAAAATATAGTTCTGTTCATAAAATAAAATTATAAATGCCTCTAATTCTAACGAAAGATGTGCAATTAAGAAGTAATCACTTTCTAAGCTAAATATTTGACAAAAAGTTCAATGATTTTTTAGTGAGAATATGATATAAAATTTGACACTTAAAATGTCAGCTAGTTTAAGATTTCAATTTGTAGTTCTGCCAATTAGGATCAATTAAAAATATACCTATATATTTAAATTAATCTGCCGCTACTTGACTACTACTAATATTCCCCTAGGCCTATTGAGAAAAAATTAGCAAGTGAGAGACATTTACTATGTTCCTATTTAAATACGTTAACCTGCCAACTTGGAGACATGGTATTGTACACAAATTTTGTTGAATGGGGAAGAGACAGTTAATTGCTCTTAATTATGGTATGAGCCGCGAGGTAAATAAATATCCCTTGGCTGAGCCTGCATTCATTGACAAAGTTCTCTTTTTACACCTCAAGGAAATCACGGTCAACAATGAAGGGTGTTGCTGGGATTGCAAAAGACAATCACGGCACCGTCGAGACTGCAGTATAATATGCTCGTGAGTCTTGGCGAGATCACGGGAGATGATCACGATATAGCTGAGACCACCTGACCACACGTGTTTACGCAATCGTGGGAGAATATAATTGGTGTTTGCTATAAAAAATAATAATTTTCAAAAACCTATGCTGGCTTTCTGCTGGCTGGAATAAAACTGCACGAGGGCCGGATGTAGCCCACAGGCTGTAGGTTGGAGACCCCTTCGTTAGGCATTTTTAAGACCTATTTTTTTACTATACCTGTACTTTATAATTAAATTTGTCGATAAGGCATTGAGTTATTGACAATAAAGATAAAAGAGATGGATAAAACCGCAGATTAAGTTTTGCTCATTTGCATAGCCTGTCACTGAAAATTCACAATTTGAAAAGAAAACATCACAGTAGTTAGATGTCGGCCTAATCTGTTAATTATAATAAAATTTAAGTTCTATATTAGGTAATTAGATAAGCAATATTTTCTTTAACCTAAATTATAAATAACACAATAAATTTACCTTGCATCAATCCTAAACTTTGCTGGGCGAAGCCAATTCTTGATTATAGTAGCAACAACATATATTTCCATTACACCACGATCCTAGTGTTCTTGCGTACCGGTTCTGCCTCTGTATAAAAGAGATTAGTATTAGCACTAGAATTTGTATATATTTTAAGTTTCCTGATCAACACCCAGGATAGCCTACAACTAGGTACACATATTAAATTGTTAGTGAAATCTATTTTATATTTTGATGGCATTTGCTTCTTTTGAGTAGCCTTGTTAAAGCTAAATCTAAATCTGAAAATTGAAAATTTTGACCTAGGTAGTGGTAAAAGTAATCCTCAGTCACTTGAACGGACAAATATTGGGGTGAGCACTGACTGAAATGAGTGCAACGGTCGGATGTAGTTTGGTGTGTGTATAGGCCTATGTGTGCGTTTAAAAAAATTCAACTAATACAGTTTTCTTTTACACAAGTTAGCACTGCCGGAATATTTATATAGTGTAAATCAAAGACTTCCTATATAAGTGGGTCACAAAAAAGAGAAACTCTCTTAACTGTGTGATGAACCTTAGGCTACGTTATTACCCAATAGGTACCTATCATGAATTAGGTTGTGTTTTGGTGGTAGAGCCTAACTTATCTACAGTTCCTAAGAGAACCTGCGATATATTATCGGACGGTATATATATCTGATTTGATATTAATATTGCAAAACCAATTCACCAAATCTGCAAATCATAACTCAATTTGATGTTTACATAGTGAAAAAACATAGGGAACGATGTATTGAATCGGATAATTATTGATATACTAGTTGTTCTGCCCGTGCTTCGCTACGGGGTGAGAATGCAGAAAAGAAAAATGCTGTTTTACTTTAAGATACCATAATTTACTTTGGGAAACGGAAACAGATACAACACACTTACCACAGGATACACAAACTTATCAGGAAACATATAGGCAAAAGCTCAATCCTGCTTATTGATTATTTAAATTAAGATCTCTTAATGTATTACAGTACTATCATTTTATATAGTATATAACATTTAAAATATATGCAAAAGTATGATTCATTGACCACATGGCACCAAAGAAACAATTCTCCTGGTAAACAAATTAAATTAAATAGCAGAACAGCATTTCTGACAACAGCTGTAGTTTAATAACAATGTTTGTTTCCCATGTTAATCTTATGGAGAGATACGTAACTTTAAAGGGCCACCAGGCCTCACTCTCTAATTATTTCCCTAAAAAGAAAGTTTCCTGCACAACTTCACGTTACGCCCTTTCCAATGACACCAAAAACATGTCAATTGGTTCAGTAGTTTCGGAGGAGTAATTGTCACAAAAAACCTGCTTGCGTATTAAATAAGTATAGATAATGTTATTCATCCGATAATATATCGCAGGTTCTCTGCGGAACTGTACCCGTTATGGCAAAAAAGACATACACAGTCATGGCGAATCAAACAGAAAAATTGAAATAAAAACACCTAAGATTAAAACTTTATTTTAACTTTGAGAACCTAATTGAAATATATGTATGTCTACCTATTATTAATGTCTGATTGTAAATAAAAAAAAAAAACTTACGCAAGATAGCTGGCTTCAGATGCAGATTGCAAAAGAAAAATGTATTCCTCCTTCCCAGCCTACAGGCTGCTAGACAGCCACTTTGTCACTCGGGAGAATTGGTACCGTAGGCAAATTATTCACTGCTACCAAATAATAACTTCCACCAAAGCTGCAGAGTTATCAACTGAAACAATGGAGAGAAAACTACTTTTAGTTAAATTCATGCATACCTTTCTCTGGCCTAAATATGTATCAAGATTAGTTAGGCCTAATCATTGGTTGGTAAAGGAAGCAGACAACAACTAAAATACAAAAGACTAAGAGACAATACAGGGGTAGACTTTCGTATCTGTTGTCAAAAACAACCGAATGAAAATATCGATCGTTATAGCCTATGTTCATTCAGTTGTTTTTGACAACAGATACGGAAGTGTACCCCAATTCAGTTTAAAAGGAAAATGGATTTCAAATAGGCTAGGCTATTTCTTTTATAATACCGGTAAATTGTAACCTGGTTGAGGTAGAATATGTTAGGCCTAGGCTAGCCTAAATTAAGTTAACTTATTCTTGATGGTGAATTTACATAAACTTAAGTTAGTGACTGACGTAAAATATAACCCACATAACTTAGTAATATTTCAAAATTAGCCTAACAAGGTATTACAACACAGTATGGTATTCCATTTGCCTTGTAAACCAGTAAGTTAGTCCTACTTACTAGTCTATATATTGAACACTATTTTCATCCGGAAGTTGCCCTTTGAAGCTAAATAAACTACTGGTTCAGTAAGAACTAAGCAAGCCGCCTAACTTAGTAGCTTACGCCTAGGCCTAATTAGTATGCAGAAAAATACTTCCTCTAAAACAGATTGCCTATTTTGAGGTTTCAGATTTATCTATTTATACTTAAGTTAAGGCATTAGGAATGATAAGTTGGCCAATTTAATTTGTACAGTAGCTTAACTTAGGTCTAGGTAAGGCCAAGGCCTAAAATACGTCTATGTTACTAGGTATAGTGACTTATACTTACATACTCCAAGGATCAAAAACGTGAAAAGATGTTCGGTGTAGGTTATGCCAATACCCAGTCACAAAAATAACAACTCTAAACTAACAGTGACACACACTAAACAAAATATCAGCACACTTAAGTTAACTGATTTGAGGTTATGTCTTGTTCTTGAATCTTGATACTCTTGTTGCTTCCATAGTTTATTTTCACTACTTGTGTAGCCTACTCAACAAGTTAGTTGTCATAGTTACATTTTACATAAATCGTGTACTTTCCCTCAAAATGGGCAATTTGTTGGTTAATAAATAAATAAATCCACACCGTGAGTAAACTGGCCACCACTGGTCTCGCGACGGATTTTGTAATTTGTTTTGTTTTTGTATTGTAATGTTTTGTTTTGTTTGCTGAGTTAGGTTAGAATTAAGTTGGTGTTTTGTCTTCAGTCTTCCCCTCTTCCTTTCATACGAATGGGCCAAGTCAAGCTCAAACTAGATACTTAACATATTTTTAGAGTTATATTACACTTTAAAAAATTTTAATTTACGTTTGGTTTAATTTACTAGTAAAAATAAAATGATAAGGCCAATCGTTAAAGAGTTAGACTTTTTTATTAATAAACAAAACTTTTAAAAAATCTGTGTTTCCTATTCACTCTTCTTGAAATGTGTAGTAAGCCTAGATTCAGAAAAATATCAGATGTTCCAACAACCCCCCCCCCCCCGCGAAAAGTCAAAATCCATCATCAATTAATTAAAAATTACAGTGTTCAGTGTTCCTTCCTATTATTAATTATTTTGAGATAATTGACCTCCGACCTCCATGTTACAAACTGGGGCCCATTTCATAATAAAGTACAAACTAATATTATTAGTAAATCAGCTGATTGCCCAATGCAAATCTAAAGGAAATAACAAGTTACAAGTTGTAACTTGTAACTTGTAGTTTATTCTGAAATGGGCCCCTGTAGGCTGGGGACTAATTCTTTACTCTAAAAAATTTAAAAAGTTAAATTTACAAATTTTTAAAACTAGTATATTTGGAAATTTTCAAAGAGAAAATCAAATTTTTAACATTAAGAATATTTAGATAATATTCTAAATTTGATGTTATTTGACTTTGATATTTTGAAGATACAATAAATATTCAAAGTTTGACATTGTTTGACTTTGACATTTTGAACATTAAATGAATATCAAATAAATATCAAATTTTTGATTTGATATAGTTTGATATATTGAACGTTTATTTGATATCAAATAAATATTCTGTGCTATGTGGGAAGTTATCTACTGAACCACTGATTGTAAAAAATTCAAAAAAATATATTTTACGCATTACACTTTTGGCTACAACTTTGCCACAGACAAAACCTCTCTAACCCAAAAACAAAAAAAAAATCTCGCATGCTAACTTTTTCATGTTAGAAATCACGATTTAAAACTATTTCACCATACAAATCATTTTTTATTAATTAGATCGGTAAATAGTTTAAAGTTCCAACAAAATAGTCATCGAGTAGGACTAACCAAGAAGCTCTGTGCCAAATTTCAAAATTTTAGCACAACTTTAAGAACACCAAAACACGAAATTATTGAAGACATGCGTCGAGAGGACTATCGTTGTTTTTAACAGATTATACTTTTGACCTTCCGGCACTGTTGACTCAGCGAAACTGAACTTATATTTTATCTTATTTCGTTATATTAAAACTGCTGTTGCATTAAGTCAAATTCCCAATAAGTCAATTGCTTTAAAATAGACTAAACTTTTAGCCCGGACTGTACTATTTGACTTTCTGGGATTTTTGATCTACAGACACTGCAAACATTGTAGTTTTTGACCTAGCGGCACAGGTTTAAATTATTTGACCTTCCGGGACTGTTGACTTTCTGCAACGCGTCCGAAAATAAGTCCAAGTAAGATAAATTGTTGCAAAGTACTGTACCAGTATTAACAAAAATCTGCATCCAAACAACCACTTATCTCGATCATCTTAATTAGCTTAAATTCACCACAATGAAACAGTTAGTTTTACACAAATAGTTTAAACATGGGCCTTTTCCATTATTTGACTACCACTAAATAATTGGTATATGTAACAAAATACGCAAACCCATTAAAATTCCTTCAATCTAATTAAACATTGCATTTATATAACCTTTCAACTTTAAGTCTTAGGTTATGTCTTGTTCTAACCTAACCCAACACTAAACACAATTTCTATATGATTTTAAAATTTTAACCTGAACAAATAATGTTAGTCGTCAAACATTCAACTTATGTTTCCACTCACAAACCATGGGGCATGACCTAACCGTAACCGTTGCATCTGGTCGCTGGATACGTTGCTTACGCTGCATGTTGCTGTTTGCTGTCTAGATGAGAACTATGATGATGAGCCTCTACGGAACGTTGTGTTAGATACCCCTGATGTGCCAAGTGCCAGCGCAGAGGTGGCATGGGTGCCGGGCCAGGCTGGAGTAGTGCCGGCCAATAGTGTTCTCGGCGGCTACGACAACGAGAACCTCTACGTAGGCAGAGCGGAACACGAGGGGGGTGTGATTCCCGGCAAGATCGTCAGCTCCCACGGTGTCTGCTATATAGCCTGGGGTGGAGCGGAACATGGCAAACCTGACTATGAGGTGAGTGAAGACAGTGTCGTTTAAAACTTATAATTTCAAAAAAGATCGCCAATCTAAAAAAAAAACTCACATATGTAATACATACTATATAGTTTAATAATTGTTTCATGTTCCTTTTTGGCACATCTGAGGTTCCCTACTACATGCCTGTTGGTAGTCAAGCATTCAAGTTATATCATAATTCAAAACACAAACTGGATATGCCAAAATACACAAGGGCATTCTCACTATAGTTCGGCCGCTTAGAAAACGACCTGCGCTCTAATGCCAAACCAATGCTGGAGGAGGTCGCTTTCTAAGCGGCCGAACTATAGTAATCCACACAAACATCTTTAAGACAACCAATAAGAAATCTATAATTCGTTAGCGTAATAAATGCTGTTAGAGGTGACGGTTTAAGTAGATGGAACTTATTTTCTATGCAAGATAAACAGCTGATGTTTTGTTATTGTCATCATTGTTTCATTTTGCCATTATGGAGCGTTAGTTGATCTAAGAAAGTGTTTAAACTGCTTAAAAAATTGTGTGGGAAAATTTTTGTACAATTGGCTTTTTCTTTTTTTATGCTTGTGGCCATGCAGTTTAAAGAACGTCAATAAAGAACGCTATTGTAAAATGATGGGTATTTATTTTTTTGCAGCAGATAGAAAATTGTGTAGTATTATTGGCTTAGATGGCTTATGGTTTCTACAAGATGCGGTCACAACTTGAGAAAACCTGCAATTGGTGCACACAAGTTGCTCAAATGTTTGATTAATCTTTTGCTTTTGATGTATTAGTATCATCAACATTGGGCAGCTAGACCACGTGACCTTACACCACTTGATTATTTCCTTTGAGGTCACTTAAAGCATCAGATCTACGAAAACAAGCCCAATTTGATTCCAAACTGAAGGATGAGATCAAGACAGTTATTCCTAACATAACAAACAATTTAACAAGAAAACTATGACACATTTGATCAGAATGGCTGAAATCAGTAAAGCTGCTTGTGACATGAGTCTCACTTTGCATGTTCAATGTCAGTCTAAAAAAAATGTGTTTACACAAAAACATAGCTAAAGTCGGGACCACGAAAGTTTGCAGTTGAGGGAGGAGCCTATTTACCACGTGACTTCGAAGGAGCCAATGAGGACAGTGCGGTGTTGCCAAATCTAATAATACCAGCTGATTTGAAAATGTTGTTTAGTATTTTAATTAGTGTCGTCAACGGGCTATAAGGCAACGTTGCACTAGCCTTGTCTTGTGATTGGCTGCCGCCAACTGCAAACTTTCATGGTCCCGACTGTAGTAAGTAATTTATAATGCACATTATTTACATTGCAACCTTTCTAATTGGATTATCTTATACATGTCGTGCTTACTCCTGCAGGCTCTGACAGGCAGTAACCTACAGTGGGTTCCATCAGTGGAAGGACAGATTCCCCCCAACGCTGTGGTGGGAGGAACCAGTGAAACGGGAGAGACATTATACATCGGCCGCGCACAACACGAGGGCTCTACCACAGTCGGCAAGGTATTGTCAACTGTCATACTTTGTTGTTAAATTAATACCTCTGGTCTATCAAATCAACTTCCATATACCTACTTCATAGTTGGAGAAATAAATGGAATGGAAACTCAAACTGGGCGCCTAATGATAAAAAAATCACCAGATCGATCTTAAGAAAAGTCTAAATCCTTTTAATGGTTTGAATCTGAACCCAGCTGTCCTTGGTCATTAAGTGTTCAATAAAAATGGGCATGGGTAAAAAACAGCTGATTTTAAGTCAGTAAAAAAGCTGTCACATGCGTTTAACACTCATTCTCGTATTAAAATACACACCTTGATGTGTAAGGAGTCATATAAAAATCTAAATCTAATATTGTTAGATCTATCTTTCCTCAATAAAAAAAATCGCACATGATTAACTTCATACTTCCATGTTAGAGATTAAATTAGTTTTTGCTAACATAGGTTGTGTATTTTTAAGGTTAAGATAAGTGTTGAATGAATTAAATGACAGCTTGGTTACTTGTTGTTATATGTGTGTTCTTTAGCCACAAACATTCATTAAAATCCCAATGATCAAAGACAATTGCGTCTCTATTGTTGAATCATCAACAGGTTTCTAACCTTTATTACTATCAAACTTTAACTTCCACAACTCCATGTTAGAACTATTACATCCCCTTGTCATAAAAACTCTCACAATTCTGTGAATAATAAAGTTTAGTAAGAAACCCAGCCAGTTGCTTGATTGGATTTCTCTTGCAGACGTTTAAATTTAAAATAGATTAAATTATACACTTTTTCTAATATAAACTTGATGACAGGTCCAACCGAGCCATTCAGTGTGCTACATTCCCTACGGTGGCCAGGAACTTGCATACCCAGAATACGAGATCTTGGTGCAGCAGTAATACGAACACAGCACAACAATTGTGACGCCTTCTACGCTACACTTTTATTTTGTACCTTCTCTTAAAACCTAATAGATTGTATTTCTACCAAAACGCTTCAAGCAATTAATTTAGGTATGAATAATATTGAATAAAAGATTATTTATTTACTACTAACGTGATTGAATCACCTATCTGGCTTTGTTTGCAAAGCTTTACACCTGGAAGGATTGATAGAGTTGAATTTTTATTGTATTGAGTTTAATGGGCGCAGTAAGATGCTTCCTCGAATATCTTTACTTTTAATGTTGATTTCAAAAGATCATTTAATCACTTCAAGTCCCAAAAGGGGCTTTAAAGACCAAAATGACTTATTTTTGGGACTAAAAATATATATTTTTGTTTCACAGCTGTTAATTTATTCATTCATTGTTGTGGCTTGCCCTTGAACTAGTAAAACAACTATTAAATGGTTTTTTCACCATATATATCATCCTTATTTAAATCAGTTGTTTCTTACTCCGACCAAGGTTCTGATGAGGGATGTGTCATGGTCTTTTGCAATGTCAAGCTCATAATAATTATTTTAATGGGAAGGGTATGAATATTATTCCCTTCTCATTTTTCAAGCACTTGGCTGACAACTATGCGATTGAAATTAAATCATATAGGCTATAAATCATATTTTAAAGTAAGCATTACAGCTTTACAGGGGATCACACAGAATAAGTCAATTTCAAGAATGCAAATGTTTAGTTATCACACAGTTTATATAAGTTATCAATAATTTATACAGCTAAAAGGAACACATAATGCTTGTTAAAATACAGTTTTTTATTCACAGGAAAAATATTTTACAGAAGTTGACTAAAGCTCAAATTAAAACTTATATAAATAGGGGAGCGGGTTTTTTCACACCCCTTGTAGTAGGTAGTTTTTGACATATAAAAAAAACTGTTCTTGGTTCATGGATGGTCATTAACATAAAATTGTTTTGCCAAAAATTTCAAAATATCCATACTTCAAAAAGATTAATATCAAAACATCGAATCCTTAAACTACTTTTAGTAAAACATCAGACCAATTTAAAACTAATAGACAATTAATAGACATTGTAAAATTGACTCAAATATTTAAAGGAATAAGAATCTTTATTACCCTTTAAACATTTTACAGTGTAATGGTGTTCGCTATTTGCTACGTAATAAATTGCTACATAATATTAAAATATAAACAAATATTTCACAGACGAAATAACAAAGATAATTTATTAAATAAGTTAAAACAAGCTGGCCAGGTTTAAAATCTACTAATGGCAGGTGCGTAATGAAACACTAGGTAAAAATATAGACAAAATACAATTTAAAATAGAACAAGTACAATAGAAAAGAAGGAACCACAAGGCAGGATTTACCTTTCATGAAGTCTCAAACACCTTGTGAATTCTTCCACTCTTTCCATCCATGAATACTTTGTCACCTGAAAATTAAAAATCTAACTTTAAGGCATCCAGAGTTTAAGGTGTTTCATTGAAGGTCTGGGTCTTTAGTCACCACAGTTTCACAAGATAATTAATATTACACTCCTATATTCATGACTGACATACAGTATCATTATTGACTCACAGTATTTGACAGTATCACTCTATAGGTATGTGGTAAAATGGAAGCCTCTCCATGAATAGTGTTTTTGTGGAATTTTTGTTCACCTTTTTTTCATATACATGGTTACATTGTTGAAGGCATTTACAACAAGCTTGCTTTAACCAGTTTATGGTTATGTGTGTCACTCCAAAATTAAGATTAAAATGGAATTTGACCCCTTGATCTACAATGCTATCTTCTGAACATAGATAACTCCTAAGATTGCATGATTATTGATTAAACTGATTAAGTTATTTGATGGATTAGGTGTATAAGTATTTTAGTCTCAATAGAGTACGTACAGACAGATTATACGTCACCTGTTTTGAACACAAGTGTAGCATTTGTGGCACCAACAATGCAAGGAAGTCCGTATTCTCTTGCTACGACTGCTCCTGTTAAAAATAACCACAAATGTTTTTGATTCAGTGGTGATATAGTAAAAAAAAAATAAGAAGAAGATCGAAAAAAATCGAAAGATCATGTCAATCACCTAGAAGAACCCAATAGCATAGTAAAATGTTAATGGTTTTGTGTATTATTTATTGTATGTCAACCGTGAATTGTATTTATTGTTTAAAGGACAATAAAGCCACCTAGTAGCTTGTAGTTTGTAAAATTGAGCCTTTAGTAATCTGAATAGAGTTAGCTAGTCCTAAAGCGGACAGTATAAAAAAAAATACAAGCAAAGGCTGTATTAGAAGAGTTGCAAGGAGTATCTGGGTGATCTAGTGGTCGAGTGTGGGACTTCAGGTTCCAAGGTCCCTGATTCAAATCCTGCCAGCCACCAATGAATTTTATCTGATGATGCCACACCTCTCCAGGAACTTGAAGTAATGTGTATGACGGTTTCAACCTAGAACCTAGTGTCCAAGAACGTGAAGACGAAATGAAATAATGTTTTTTAACAGGCAAAGTTAGGGACATTGATAAAACATTACAGTTTCAAGACCTACCATGAGATATAAGACCGCCCAGTTCTGTGACAACGCCTGATAGCAGAGGGAACAGGGGAGTCCATCCTACGTCAGTGCTGTGTGTAATGAGGATATCTCCAGCCTGGAGTGACTGTGTATCTATACAGGAGAGAAGCACACAGACACGGCCCTGCACACTGCCTGTGCACACCAGAGTACCTACAACAAAAAATTAATTATCATGTTAAGGGGCAGCTCATGTGCTTAGGGCCAACGTGATGGTCTAGCCAAATATTAGGTTATTCAGCACTAATTAAAGACCTTTGGTAATAGATTGAAAGGTCATACTGCATCCTAACTCTTTCAGAGACCAGGAACAAGGCTTCAAAGATGTAAAAAAACAAGGGTTGTCTGTAATTTAATTTCTCTTACGTTCTCCCACCGCGGCCAATTCAAATGGAACACCTGTAAATATGTGTCACTTCATCCTGTACTATTATAGTTGGTTCCCAACAATATGCTGATTCATCTCTTGTCGTAGTGGCCAATAACGTTGTGAGAACAAATTAACGCCACTGCCAAATATGAATCTTCTGTGATTAAATTTTAGGAGCGAGCCTGTACGCAAAATTACATATTTTAATAAGGTTTCAAACTTGTTTCTGATACAAGATGAATCCAATTCAATACCCTTTTACCTCTCAATGATTATATTTTTCTATATTAGGTGAATAAAATTAATAATTAATAATAAATAAATTTTTTTCATTTTAGATTTACAACATAAGGGGAGGGATTTACCCACCTCAATCAGGTTGCAGTTTTCAAAAACAAGCTTGTTAAAGTTAGTTACATAAATAACTATTGTTTCTATTCAATTATGAAATAGTTAAAACATTACAGTTTAATAATATGAGAGAATTACCCATGTAATGTATTTATTTGAAAAATAAAATCAACTACCTTGAACCCATTCCCTGGAGGTAATGGTGGGATGGGATCCCAGCTGTATTGGTTCAGGTGTACCAACCATTACCTCTGGGAACTGCAACTGATCCCATTGCTGCCAACTGCGTTGTCTGCGGCTGATTCTAAAAAAAAAAAAAATGTTTTTATTTAGTACTTACCAGAGTTAAATCTAAAATATAGAATATAACCAGTAAATCCACTCTGCCCATTCATCTATAAAAAATTTCCTGCTGTTCAAAACACCTTAAAATCTCAGAGAAGGAAGGTACAGAGGAAACACTCAATCGTACACTTAAGAGGTGTCCAGCATAGTCTCTGGTGTCTGTGGCAAAGTCCAACACCACGCCCTCCCCCTCATGGACTGCAACACTCACGCCTGTGCCCTGTGCAATAGGAATTTCCACACACTTTTTGCTGCTCGGGCTCTTTCTTGCTCGTCACAGGTGCATTTCCGGCACAACACACTAGAGCCGAAAGTGTACGGTAGTTTCCATAAACAAGTTTCCTTTGTACCTTACTTCTCTGCGTTAAGGCAATTGGACTTTTAGTTTAGAAGGTATAATGGAATGATGCTCCTGTAGAATTCACTTACTGGGCACTGATGTATCATTATGATGAAGAGTAAGACTAAATTAAATTACTTACATAATCTCGTCACAGCTAGGGATTACATATGTAATTTGGTCTTACATTATGTCCAACAGATCAGGGGCTACAAACATGAAATTTAATTGATCACTGATGTAGTAACCTGAGAGGCTGGCTTTTGTTCAAAGTCAGAATACTACTTTCCTTAATTGGCTATACAGTATAGTAATTATTTACCTATTTTGCCTGAAGGTCTTGTAGTTTGGATTAACACTCGATGCACATTTCGCCGCTCAGTGCGGCATCTTCATAGAGTATCTTCTTAAACACTTCTGTTACTATGAACATATTTACATTATATTTTCCAATCACTAACCGGTCACATTCGCGGTCGCGGTTGCCCGGCGGCGACACGAGCGGCGGGGCACATTTAAGAGTAGTCAAACAAAATCGATTAGTGATTGGAAAATATAATGTAAATATGTACATAGTAACAGTAGTGTTTAAGAAGATACTCTATGAAGATGCCGCACTGAGCGGCGAAATGCGCATCGAGTGTTAATTCAAACTACAAGACCTTCAGGCAAAATAGGTAAATCATTACTGTATAATACAGGTCTTGTCACTGGGTTAAAAAACATTGAATTATCACCCTGTATATTAATGATGCTATCAAACAAACAAGTCAACTTTAGATAATAACATGATCAGGGTTTGGACCTTTTCCTTTCAAAACTTAAAAATTCCATTGATTTGGTGTGGAAAATACAAAAAAAAAAAAAAAAAAAAAAAAACAATACAAAACATTCAACCATTCAAATATCCAGATTAAAAATGACTCTAAATACATATTTTCAATCTAAAAGTGTATTTTGCACTGTATAAGAGAGAACGTAACCTTTTCAAAAGGTCTGTAATTAAAACATTGAAGTTATTTGTTTGCGATAATTGATAAATATGGTAGTATCAATTTGAAACTACGACCAATTTGGTAAGATCAGATGTTTGGGTCCCAGGTAGTAAATATTCATTTTCTTGTTGTGGAGTAGGTTTTCAAGGGGGCAGCATTCTGCGTTTGAACATTTTGAGCTGAACTCTTATTTGAAATTGTATTTTTTTTGGTCAAATTTACTTTATTTAACTCATACTTGATTCAACTAATATTGTTCAACTTATAAGTGCTTGTGGTCTAACTCTACCCTAAAAATTATTGATCTTGATGACAGGTGGCAAGGATTCTTGGGTGGCATGAACTTGGCAAACCGTTAATAACAGGTAACCGTCTATATGAAGCACACAACAGGGTGTACAGAAAACAAAAACAAAATGTCTGACACTCCTATTGACTCAGCCCTGCATAATCGATCACACGTTCTACATTTTGTTAATCATCAACTCTAATCTAACTTTGCAGTTGGCCTATTTACTAACTTATGCAGCAGTGCAGGATTAGACGAACCAAGCAGTGTGCCAAGTTCGTAGTGAGTACAATACCACACGAGCTGAGGGGTTGGTAGACGACCTTCCTGGGCCATCAGTGTTGCCAACCGCATGTAGCCTAGCCTCAGCTGATGGACTACTCGCAAGCTTGCGTCTTTGGACATTTCCCTTCTCGCTGCAGCACTACTGGCCAAACCTGCTAGCCAGCGAATAAGCCATCTGAAACAGAGATAAGTTGTATCTCAATTGGATTTAAAGTGAATTGGATGGTAAAATCATATTTTTCAACACGAAGGCCTCACTAACTAAATTAAATATAGTTTACCTGGTTGTCGACTTCCTAGGGGATCTCAGTTTGTCTACGACATCAGTGTCTACCTCAGGGATTGTTTCTTTCTCCAGAATCGAGTGTTCACTCCTCAGTAAAGTCTGTATCATAGACAGTAGCGGTGTGTTGTCCAATCCCCACGTTGTAGTCATTAGATCCAGCTGTAAACCGTTACCAACCTCCATAAATAGTTACGAAGCCATTTGATCTTCTAAGGTTCATATATTGAACACAAGGTAAAAACAAAGTGTAAAACTTAACTTTACAGTTATTTATTCCAGTAAAACTCACCAAAAATGGCTGAAAAATCAACTGAAAAGGATTTTACCTCTCATTGAAAGAGGTTTAGTGGCAGAAGCCAAAAAATAGTGAACCGCTCATCTCAAGTACATTATATCTGTGGTTTGCTCATAAAATCAAGTAGGTATTTTCCTCCTTTTTGCCAAAACTTAACATGCGTGTCCCCACCAAAAACAATGATTGGGAAGCAGGTAAATCAGTTTCTGTCAACTTAATTAGGTGACTTTCTTGAACCCTTCTGACACAATACATTTTATACACTTGTTTTAATGTTCCTAATTACCAATTTCACACATTATAAGTTACAACTATCAAACATGATTCTACCAAGTGACATACCTCTTTAACATTACGATGTGCATAGCGTCTTGTAATGTCTTCCAAAAGTCTAAATGCCTCTGGACAGTTGATCTGCATCCACACAGCCATTTTCTTAGGAGGGAGATTTGTTAGTTCCCGCCACTTCTCACTCTGTTTAATAACTTTGGAAAGTTTCTAAAACAGATAATAATATCTAAGAAAAACTATATTATATACTTAAGTTCAATTTGGATCGTAGATACAAGATACATCAACGCTTAAATTAAACCATGTTGAAAATCATAAGAGCAGCTGTTATTGTGTTATTTGCTATATTCTGTTCACAAAATTTAGGTGTTTAAGGGGAAGTTTTCCCACATTGTTTGCTCTGAGCAGGGTGCAGTTGATTGACATTTTGACAAACATCAGCTGTTGAGCTAATGTTTTAAGGTAGGATCAATTAAAGGGGATGGATTTCTTTCTCTAAAACCGCCTAACTAAATTTTGTAAACGGAGTAGTAATTGTATAATGCTATTGCTGCATAGTGCATGTCATTGGTTATTGCTGTATTTACTTAGTTTCCCGATTCTTATGCTACATTAAATGCACAGTTTGTTGTGTAGTTTACAGCTGTGTCCAAGCCATAGGTGGCATTGTGTATGAAAGAATCAACAGTCAAAACCCCTGAAAATCTTTTAAACATATGAGAGATCAATTCAATCTCTTACATACCAAAGCCAAAGGGGCTCAGCAATCGCATAGACTAACCAACACAAGTAGACTTCTCATCCCATTGTAAATTTTGAAGCTCGTTTTTCATGTCTAGTTCATGTACGCCACACTGGGCGCTAGTGTTGACGAAATTTTGTTTCTATTATTTTAGGGTTGATTTCTTGATTTGTGCTTTACTGTTTGGTTAAATAACTAGGGTACAATTTATTGTTTATGATTAGATCGTATTATTTGGTTAAACGAGGTTTTAAATGACTGTATTAACGGGAAACAAATTGTAAACAAAACACGACCTCTACATAAACCGTACAGAAGTAACAATAAAATTGTCTTCAGCTGTTCCATTAGGACGAGAAATCTACTAAGGGAGTATGTTTAATATATGGCAATAGGCAAGCATTGCCCTCAATGTCAATGCTTTAAACGTTAAAACAATTAATTGGTTTTCTATACATACATGTTCTCCAATTGTTTTTAGACAATTAACTATTACATTTATTTCAATTCTTAGAGACAGTGACACTATCAGGTGTGTCTTTTAAGCGCAATACAGTATGATCACACAATGAGGGAAGAATGGAGTGAGATGATCTGTCTAAATTTGTTACTGATGATCAAATATCTTTATTTAGACCGGATGATGAATTTAAAGCCCAATGAACAAGGTCAGCAGGGTCTGGTTTCAAACCATCAAAAAGCTACTGACTCTTCCAGAATCGTCCAGAAAACCTCACCCATATGTTATAAACTAACCTTCATATCAACTGGGACCTGAGCAGATATAGCCTTCTGTTTGTCCACCAATAGCAGAGCAATATCTTGCAGATGTTCTTCTGACAAATCTGTTTCATTTGATAAATTTTAGCATGGACAATAGATTTAACATTTATAAATGGCCCAGATAGCAGGAACAAAATATCTGTTTTTAATACTTTAACAATGTATTGATTTTTTAAATACTTTCATATTTGGAACATCAAAAAATATTGATTTTGCTTCTAGAGAAATACAGTTTAAATACGTGCTATATAAATAATCTCTTGTATCTTTATACATTGGATAGACAGTTTTATAAATGTTTCTAATGATTTGAATAAGATACAAATCCCTTTCAAACACATTTTGAATCAATAACCCTTCGAAGGGAAAATCTAATCTGATGTATAACAATATCAGAAATCAGAAAGAAATCGTACAATATTAGTATCAATGATTAACAATAATTACAAAATATTGTCTAAATCTGTATACATTAATTTTGCTGATCTTAAATTGTTTATGAACTATATTGTTGATTGGTTGAATAAGTTTTATTTTAGCATTAGTATTTTTGATTGTTCAAAACATAGGTAAAATAATAACAAGTTCCAAAAATAGAGTTGATGGTTTCTTTTTCAATTCCCAACACAGTTTGACCATTGACTATTGGATACTGAAGGTTTAACTAACCAACTACAATCTGATGACATAAAAAATAGAACTCCTGAAACCCCTAACAAAATAAACTACCTAATTTTTATGTTTATTTTCAACTAAGAAAAGAAGAAGATTACCTGTTTTGCCCTCTGAGAGAATTGAAAGAAGAACAGTTTGCCAAACTGTTGAGGCCATCGACATTCTAGTGTGTAAAAGAAACACCTGGAACATAAAAAGTATTTTTTTCTCTGTGATGTAATAGTTAAGTTTCTTAGGAAGGTAGATTTAGTTACTTTTTTTTAGGAAGTTACAGAGCATATTTCCTCTTGTCTAAAAGAGCTATATAGTTTAACCACATATTGGTAACCTAAACCATTAGATCCTTTTAGAAAAAAAATCCAGTAATTATTAAGTTACTGGACATAGATAGGATATTATTCTGTAATAAATTAGCAATTGGCAGATGAGGTATGGGTTTTATTCGGAGTTGGGTGTAGTTTTGATATTCTTTGATCCAGCGATGCAATTCCTGTACTTATTGGTAATTTGATTGAGAAATGTGTTTCGGATGTCATTATAATTAACTACCGGTACTTCAAACTATTTTAATAACAAAACCAAGCCCCTTAGTACAGTGACTTTAGTCTGTTAGTCATTGAATGATGGAATTCATACATTTATGAAAATAACCATAGTTACTGAATCCTTGAACCAATATTACCAGAATTTAATTTCTTCTAAATTTTATTTCAAGTCAAATTATGTATAGGAAGTGTAAGAACAGTGAGTTCAAATTTAAAGTTTTGCCGCCGCTACTTCAGTATTCTGTTGTCAGCTTGTAAGTGTTTAGTGTGTAGTCTAAGAGTAATGAATAAAAACATTAATTTCCTTTCAGTCCAACAACTAAATAGAATATTGCCTGAATCCCTTGATAAATATCTACACTACACGAAATTCAGTCAAACCTGATAAAAAGTAAATTAGAGAGAAAAAAGAATATAGTAACTATGTCTCTTAGTAACCAATAATGTGCTTGAATATTACTTTAAGGAGTAAAAGATAGACTTACTGTCACTATGATACATTGGAACCCTGATAGAGGATAGGGGTGGTTGTGACAACTATCCCTTACAGAGTATGTCATGATATTGCCATTAGAATATGATATACTCATTGAAACCCCAAATTATGTTTAAAACTACTCAAAAACTGTGACTGATGAACACAAAAAACAACTAACACAGAGAAATCAAAACCCTTCTTATTGATATGGTACACAAACAAACAGTGCACAATACACTAAATAAACTACTAAATTTTCCCATAAACTTTTGCCAGTTCAGTTCTGAGCATTCAATTGGAACCCATGTGATAGTCTCAGACTTTTAATGATTATTTCATTCTTAAGCCTGCAGATCTTAATGTGTCAAAAGGCCAAGGGTTGAGACCACACTTTTATAAAAAGTCTCTGGTTCAGACACAGAGTAAATAACATTCTGATAAGGATTTGTAATGAACATGTTGAACAGTAGGCTTACCTCATTGACAAAAAGTTGTAAGAACAAAATGGAAATTTGACACAATTTTTGGAACTATCTCCTTTTTCAGTTATCGATTCTTTGTTCTCGTTGTTGGCTGTTAATTTACGATTACACTGTCTACAACTGAGTACTAAATTGTCTTCTGTATTTTCAAATTTTTCAAAATACCACAGGCAATTGGTAACACAAATAAAAGTGAAATAAAATAAAACCTGAAAAGGAGAGTTCCAAAAATTGTAATTGCCATTTGCACTTTCAACTTTTTTGGCATTAAGGTAAGCCTAATTTTTTTGGACACCCCTTACAAAAGCCTTAAAACCAAGACTAAAACAGTTTGACAGTTTGATAACTTTGGGTTTTTTCAGGAGAGGAGTGCCAAGAAACTGGGAGAAACCGAGGGAGGCTTTACTCAACAATGCAAAGTCCTTGGCTGAGCTGGCAGCTGCAGTAGTGGACAGTCAGCCTCTGCCGGAATGTCTAAACTGGACAACAGACCAAGTGGAACTCTGGGTGGAAGACACTGTCAAGCTACCTCAGTACAGAGTAAATACACTAATATTTTTGTAAAATTATCTGATCTTCCGTTAGCTGACCTCCAATATCCAACCCTTGAAGAAGATGGAGTAGGTAGCGACAAATCGTAGGCTATATTTACGGTTTGATATGACTTACACCATTGAGGGTAACTACTTAACAAAACCTATTTTGCCTACCCTGGAAGTGGAAGTACTTGGAGGGTATGTTCAGTGCAAGGGGTTTGGCACCTAAAACCCTACCCCTTCCTTTCAAGACCCTAAACCCCCTGTTCTCGAGGGTTTATCTGATTTTTTCGCTCGTCGCCTTGATGCGATGCGGCCATTTTGAAGAATAGGCTATCAGAACTTAATTGGTTGGTGATCAAACTTCAGGACCTTTTTAGATGTTTTGTTGCTTCATTTGAAGGGCCATGAAGATTAGGTAAACAAAAACACGAGAATTAAAACTAATAGCTATTAGGCAGGACACAAAGTTATCTGAGCCAGTTCCCCACATGATTGGATTTAAAGTCCTTGTAAGAAGGCCGAAGCCCATAGATGTACTCATGTAAAGTAAAAATATTCTGCCGAACCCGTTAAAAATAATCTTGAGCACAAAATGCCTTGATTTTTTTTCCTTCCTATAACCAATATCTTTTTTGCTGAAATTGTTTTCAACTCCTACAGTACCTTTTTACATTCACTCAAAGACTTTGAATATATTTCCAACACTGCTATAAATTACCTATGAAAACATTTGAATTGTTTTGCAGATATGTTTCAAAAACAATTTTGTTCTTGGTCGTCAACTGATTCTGCTTGATCCAAGTCGCCTAGTGCAAATGAGTGTACATCGGTTTGATCATGTAAAGGTAAAACCAGGGTATTTGAGAAAACTTTAGTTTCATTTGAATCTACTTTAATTTGAGATGAAACTAATGCAAATCTAAATTATATTTGACTTTTACTCATAGAATAGAAATCCAATTACTGTATAAGAACAGCAAATTGTATCCGTTTATGTTGCTGACCTACTTTTGGGGCTGCAAGTCTGTAAAGTGTAAACTATTACTGGGCACTTGATAATTAGCCATAATTTGGTACAAAGCAACAACAAACAAACAAAAACTTGAATATTTGATTTTTGATAGAAATCAGAAATGAACATCAACAGACTCTTGGTGGCTTAACTAAGTTCATTGTCATTCTAAAACTGAAACAGAAATGGTCCTAATATTTCTACATTTGCTTTAAGACAAAACCTTTGACCATGAAGTAATACCAAGAGAGACTATCCCATGGTCAGAGAAAGAGCATGAAAAAGAGAGGTTGGTTTTAGTAGTTTTTAAGGAAGGTGGGAAGGTAGCCTTACAAACCCTTATGGTCTGGACCCCCTAGGACATCTGCTTACAGATTTTTGTATCATCTCTATTAAAAAAAGAATAACAATTAAAAATTGTAAATCCAATCTACCAATTCTTTAAAATAAAACTCATACAACAATAAAAACTCATTGTTGTATTTCAGACAATAATGACAGCAATCCGAGAGCTGTTTGATGTGCCAATGCCATGCTACGCCAAATATCTCACTCTCCCCTCGGAATACGACACTATTTACGACTGGAACACCCTGTACTTCCGCCACATTGCGTATCAATCCCCCGATCAGGTTACACCTCGCACTATGTACTGGCGGCAAGTAGGTTTGCTGCACAGTCTTTCGCAGAGACACCTGAGCTGCCATTGGCTCTCCATGTCTTCTGATGCTGAGGAGTACAATGTAGGTACATTAGATAGATTCTGACTGGGTCGGTGGCATCGTCCTGTAATCTAGCTACTAGGAGTCAACAAATTGTGGATATTTATAGGCATGCATTATGAATGCGATACTCCCTGGTATGGGTTAACGTCCGCACTAGAGAGTACTACGACGATCAGCAGTACTAGATCCCAATAATTAGACCAATTAGTTTATTACAAGGCAAAAATTTTGTTCGGATTCCACTATAAACTGTGGGTCCCTTAGTTGCTATTGGCTGTATAGGCTATTAATTAACAGATGTGTCTAAGGAACATATTGGCCTTAGTCACTAACAAGACTACAAGATTGTGCCACTCATCTTACTCTCCATTCATACTCGGCTTAAAATACCTACATTCGTATGGTCACCTTTTCATAGGAAAGTATTATTTAAGTATTATTATAAAGCCCAATGATCAAGGACATTTGGGTTCAGTTTTAAACCATCACAAAGCTACTGACTTTTCTCCAGGTTGACTTGGCAACCTTCTTTATTGTTTGGCAAACAATATAACCACTGAGCTACCCAACACTACATATGAGCACAAATTCATAAAAATTTGTTTTCTTCAGACTAATCTCACGTAGAATTTTCTACTATGCGTCTCTGTTTAGATGGCTTAAAAATAAACTGTTGGTTACCAAACTGATTTTCGTTATTTGTCAAAGCAGGTAGGTAGTTAGAAATAAGTTTCATCTTACTGGTGTAAACAAACACTAGGTTTTTAATGGTTTAATGTGAAGCTCAATAATGGACAATGGAATAATGACTCATGCAAATTAATGTTCTACACTGAGGAAGCGTGAATGCATAAAGTTAAGTTGGTAAAAAAACTCAAGTCATAATTCCTTTAACCCGAGCAATTCATACAGGACTCACTGAGGTGAAAAATAATGTTCCTAAAAATATTCATTACATACCACAATACATACATATAAGGTACCATATTGTAGATAATTAATTAAATAAAATTAATAATACAGTACTTTTATTCTACATTTGGACTATGTGGCCTAGTTTGATCGCTTGTGGAAAGTATTTACAGTCTTCTTCAGCAGTTAAACATAGTTAAATCTCAATGGAATTTTACAATCAAGCTATAAATCCACTATTTTATTTTACAGGCGAGGATTGGAAGATACAGAAAGAAAGACCCAGCCAATTATTGGGTGCCGATGTTCAGAGAAGGAAATTATGTTCCTACAAAGAAAAAGTTAGAATATTTTTTTCTGGACCCTTTACGCTGGTGATTCTTTATGTGCACCTAATTTTAATAAATTAAATGTATCAATACCACTACATAAGACAAATAAACGCTAGTGTATAAAATCATTTTAAACTCAACTGAACTTGGCAATATTTGAGACAATAACCTCAATAGTTTGTGTATGTTGTAAAGACTAGATATTTGTTCAGACTGAAAGTAACTAACTCGAGACTGCTGTGTTAAGGAAGTCACGGTAATATGTGTTAAAACAGAATTCATGTTAAACTTTACAACACCCCAAAATTCTATTTTGGATTTAATAAAATCAAAAAGTCCTGCAAGGTTAAACTAGACCGTAGATGCTTTGGCAGAGCACGTGTCAAAGCCTGAAGCATTGCCGTGGTAATTTCTTGTTATTGCCTATGTCAGATGCATAGCTCAGCTTGGGTGGCAGTTCACGGCCTGCGAAATGCTTACGTTCACGACAAAATTCGGAAGGAGATGCACAAAGATTTCGATCTGGCCACCTTCCGCCCCAAGCGAGTAAAAGCCAAAAGGAGAGCCAGTAGGAAAAAAATATTGATCTGCCAAATTTTGGCTTCAGAAATTAAGTGCTTTAGTTCCTCTTCCTTTCAAATTATTTTTGTACTAAATTAAACATTTTTTCTTGTATTGATTAAATTGGTTTTAGATACTTTTATAGAGATAATATAATTTTGTAAATTTCGAAATTTAGCTACCTTATTTGGTTGCAAAAATAAAGTAAACTTAAGAGCGTGAATCACAGTTTATTCCCAATTTCAAATGTAACCCGGCATCCTGACCTGAAGAAAAGACAACTTATTGCTAATGTTACAACTGTAATTATTTTCCTCTTTGACTAAAAAATAAATAAAAGTTCAGAAACTCTACAGTCTACAGTTAATGACTGATTTTGTACTAAAGAGGGCCGTTTCATTAGATTAGTAGTTTATTCTTTACCTTGGTCAGATTGGCGTGGCTTGCAGTCAAGTAAGAAAACAGAGCATCAGCAGAGGTAAAGTTGTCAAAATCAAGTCTAAATTGTTCACCGATCTTTTCAGCTTTCTTTGCATCTGCTTTGCTACAAAGAAGTGTCTGAAAATGCACACGGTAAAAAAAATCAACATAAATTCATTATTATACTATGTAGCTTTTTTATAGGTCTTAGAATTTTTACTCCTGTTTCAAATTGATAAAAGTTGACAGATTTATAAACATTTATCTCCCAAAAAACATTAGCCTATAGTTCTTCTACAGTTTACTAATATAATATCAATTCAATCAAGTGTAACCGATGATTCATATAAATCACTACTACTATGTCAATTAATTACACTCATTTGATAAACAACAAGACTGGAAGTTTATATAGTTGGACTATGACCCTTCCTGGGCAAAATCAAGAGGAGTTAGGTGGAAGGAACAGGTCGAGGCCCTGAACTCCAGGATTAGTCATCGGGATTATATCAAGTAAGCCAAGTCATAATCCTTTTTAAAACCCTTTGGAGTTATTCATCATTGGGGTTTCAATTTCAAATTCACTAGACAATTTTATAACAAAAAATCTGATCACTAATTTTTGCAAAAGAAAAACACCTCTTATGAAAGACGGTAATAATGTTTTTTTTTTTTTTTATTTCATGGTGAAATAGCCTGTGGATCACCAAATTTAAGCTAATATCGTTTGAATTATCTTGCTATATAAATAAATACAAATATTGTATTGGTAGTACACTACTACAATAGTTTCCAACTATTGAGTCCATATTCAAATGTGACCAAAAATCTAGTTGTCCATTGAGCCAACCCCTTGCACCGCCCTCAGACGAACAACTAGTGGAATTACGCCCCCACAGTCATGGCTCACCATATAAGTTGGCTAGATTCACCAGAACCATTGAGAAAGGCGCATCATGGACACATAACTAAATTGGTTTACCTTATGGTTCCCAAGTTACTGAAGATTGTAGATTTATATGCTCAAGAATCTGGTAACCAATAGGTAAACCAATTTAATTAATCGTTTTTGAAATTGGGAATAACACACAAATTATAGAACACGTAACATAAATACGTAAAATGAGTAAAGCGTTATGTGTATTTGTCCATGGATGTGCTATGTGTTTTCCTCCATTGGTAGAGGTGGATGTACCCAACTGGAATGGACGACTAGATCTTTTTGTAACACTTGAACATGGACTCTAGTACAGTAGTCCAAAACCATCGTGTACTACTAACAGTAAACAATTTCAGCTTATGTTTTAAAGAACATAAAGTAAATCCACTTACCTTGACAATGAAGATGACAGTTTGCATTTTCTGCCATAGTGTTAGGGGAGTTCTCCTCTCCACAGCTATTTTCAGCATCTCTGATGTTGATACCTGATGTCCACAGACAGCCATTTCCAACACCCTCTGAGTTAGAGATAGTTCCTCTCCAGCATCTCTTAATAATGTCTGATAACAAACAACATACCGGTAGTAAATTGCTCTCAATACAATATGTATAATATTCATTGGAAATTTTCTTAAGACACCTGAAACTAGAACAAGCTGGGAAATAAATAGGTTGTGGAATAGGAAAAGTAAAATAAGATGGATGAGACTCTCAACAAATCACAATAGAAGGTCCAAAGTGAAAATAAGACACACTTAAAATATCAAAAGACAGACACAGAACACTTCAATTGATCAGTTTAAAAGAAATTAACAAAAAATTGGAAGAATTTCAAATGAAGAGAGAAAATTACGGCTGGAAAGAATGAAGAAATATTAGGCTGGAAAAAAGAATGAGATCTGAAAATATAAACTGTTGGTGGCTCATTGGATCGAATGACTCTGAAACTAAAACAATGATGTGGGTTCATGTCCCTGTTACACTGCAAACATTTATAAATCATCACATCAGTATAGTTTATTCCTGTACTGTTCTGTCTCACTTAGTTCCTTGGTTCATGTGCCTTTGAGGTTCATGTGGGTGAGAAATTACAGGTTTATAAAAATCCATCACACCAACCTTTTAACATAAAGAAAGGGGAAAAATTAAAGAGCAATGCAACACCTTAAAGTGTTCTAGCTACTGTATTCTGTTTAAGTGGTCAAAGATGTATACAAATCAATATATACAAATCAATTAGATGTTCTACTACTATAGTCATAGTCATAGTCATAGTCATATAATCTTTATTCAGCAGTACAACATGTTGCACCAGAATGGCGTTATACAATTAAATTATATTGTTAGAACTAACCATAACTTATATAAAAAGGCTAAACAAAAATACAAATCGTATAACTTACAATTTACAACACATTCAACCAAAAAAATTCACCTAGGGAATAAATGGGCTTGGATAACATAAAAGTTTTTAGCTGTTTTTTAAATTTATTTTTGTCTGTTATTTGTAAAATATTATCTGGTAGATGGTTATAAAATTTAATCCCAGCATATGACGGTTTATTTTCAAAGAATTTTAAGTTGTGATTTGAAAAACTGATTTTGTGTCTGTGCCTTGTCCCATGGCTGTGGCATGAACCCAAGGTCTCAAATTTTGGTAAATTATTCTTTACAAACAAGATCAAATCAAAGATATATTGGGCAAAAACAGTAAGAATACCAAGTTTTGAAAATTGTTCTTTAACTGAGGTTCTCCAATCTTGAATGTTTAACATGATACGAAGTGCTTCTTTTTGATATAATAATATTTGTTCCAAATTTTCATGAGAGGTTGCACCACATAAAATTATGCCAAAGGAGATGTGGGAGTGAATAAAAGCAAAGTAAATTATTTTTAATGTTTCCAAAGGACATAATTTAGACATTTTTCTCAGAGCAAAAATCCCTGATGAAATTTTACGGCCAAGATGTTCAATATGAAGGTTCCAATTCAAATTTTTGTCAAGTACAAGTCCTAGGAATTTAAAATTTTGCAGTTCTTCTAGACATTTTCCTTCCATCAAAATTCTGTGTTGAGCTGGTTTATTACTTTGATATGTTGAGAAAGATATGCACTTTGTCTTATTTATATTTACTAAAAGGTTTAAATTGTTTAAGAAAGTATTTACGTGTGGAAATTGGTTATTTGCTATTGACTCTACTTTTTGATGGGTATTACCAGATACAAGTAAGCTAATGTCATCAGCATATAAACAGACTTTTGCATCATCTAATACATCTGGTAAACCCTTTGTATAACATATGAACAACAGTGGTCCCAGGATTGATCCTTGTGGCACTCCATATTTTAAAATTTCCAATGATGAAGTAAAATTTACCTTATTGTTGTTTGTGACATTAGTTATTTCTACATATTGTTGTCTGTTATTTAAGTATGATTTAAACCAATCTAAAGCTCTTCCCTTGATACCCAAACAAAACAGGATATTTACCAGCTTGGAGTGTGACACACTATCAAAAGCCTTGCTGAGGTCCATGAAGACCCCAGTAACATTATTTCTCTTATCCACCGAATCTATTACTGATTCAATGAACTGAACACTAGCACTAATCACAGACTTGCCGGATTGAAATCCATGTTGTTCTTTATCTATCAAGTTGTTGGTTTCCAGAAATTCTGTTAGTTTTATACACATAGCTTTTTCATATATCTTAGAAAAGGATGGTAGTAAAGATATAGGTCTATAGTTTGAAGGTATAGCGGGGTCTCCCTTTTTTAAAGACTGGTTTAATCTTAGAAATCTTTAATTTGTCAGGAAAAATACCTGTAATAAAAGAAGAGTTTACAAGATGACATAACGGATATTTTAGATAGTCAATTGCTGTTTTAATAATAGGCATGGGGATCTCATCATAACCACAAGAAAATTTATTTTTAAAAGACAAAACTATTGATTTGATTTCTTCTAATGATAGTGGTTGAGGAAGAAAACTTTTATTTGAGTGGCTCAAAAGGGGTGTTTGGATACTTTTAGCTTTGTTGGGTATGTTTGGGATAACTTCTGTTTCAACCATGTTGGCATAGTACTGGTTTAGGATGTATACTATGTTGCTTCATGCGATGAAAGAGTTATACTAAATTTAAAATTAAACTATATGGTTCACAAAAATCTAGTTTCAAAGGTTATGTTATATTTTCCCAGAAAGCTAAGTACATAATACGCTTTGATGTATACAACAACAATATTTAAGTACATACATTTCAAACATCCTAGTTTTTTCAAGAGTATGATATGGATTTTCTAAACGTTGTTCAAAAATGTAATAAAGTTATACAGGATTCTTGCCTCTACTTACAGTATACATACTGAGAAGTGCGTGATGATGGGAGACTACTATTTTATTGTTGTTGTACCAAAGACGGTCTTGCACGCCGGCAAAGTATCGGATCATTACAAAGTCTGCACATCGTAACCCTGTGGACTGTGTTAAAGGACTAGTGGCTCCAGGCAGAACTTCACTGCAACCAGAGTCTGGCGTTAATAACCATTCATTATGAAATTATTTTTAATTGTAGAAAAGAGTGGGATACAGCTAGCTTACTTAACAAGAAGTACTTGTTAGTCACACAGAAGACCCCAAAAATACACAATATTTCGTTTCAAAGGGGGTGGGCTTTATTTGATCTCTTCTGTGTGTTCAGGTAAGTATATGAGTGTTCAAAGTAAGCACCATTCTTCACAAGACACAAAATAAAATTAGAAGTGATGAGCTCTTTCCAAATTTTGGTTGTCTGTTGAATTAATATAAGTGGAGGCGCATTGGAATTCTTTACGCATCTCAGAGATAGAAATAACAATGTCATCAGAATGGGTGATCGTGGAAGAAATGCTAAAGAAGATCCAACAACAAAACAAGATCTAAGTGCCTCCCCTTCTTTCACTGTGTTATAAACCCTAGCAATTATAGCTCAATAACAGAGTCTAGAATCGACCCATCGTTAAGATCATACCAACAACCTATAGCCTTGTATTTATCACAATGCCAAATGCATTAGTTATAATCTCACAGGTATATAATCAAAATTTTTTTATTACTTTTTAAAGAGCTTCCCCAGCTACCAAGACACACCAATCACTTATAGTTACTGATGTCCCCCAATAAAGTCAAATAGCATAAAATCACGATTTCCTAATGTCTAGGGCCAGAAGAGGGAGCTGATCTAGTGGTAGAGTACAGGACTTTGTCCTTCAGGGTCCTGGGTTTAAATCTCGCCAATCAACAATGGATTTGATCTAAGTGATAGTGCCACATCCTGTAGGCCTAACCTACAAAGTCATTTAAAAACAATCCCTGGCTAAAGACTAGTAAAAAACGTCTAGGACTGACCCTGTGTTGGCAGTGGTCGTAGCATCTCCTGGCAAGAAAGCTGAGTCTAGCTCGTGAATGAGTTCTTCTTCTGACCAGGAGAGTAGAGAGGTCACAGGGCGACATTGCAGTAAGTAGATCACACCCTGTACATAGCTTGCTTGAAAACACGAGTCTCATATAAATTTATTATAAAAGACAGTAGTTGGTTTATATTTTAAGCTTAAAATGAATGCAGAGTGTAGAATGGAATGATATGGCAATTTGTTACTGAATAAGATGTTTCTTTAGATAGGACCATTTATTACAACATTCATGGTTCTTTTGTTGTTTCACTGACACTGAGAACTAGAATCTTGTCCGGTAAAAAAAAGTATGAACTAACAACAGTAACAAAAAAGAATAAAAAAAAAACTAAAAAATATATATTTTTTTTAAAACTATATTACTACCTAGTAGCAAGTAATAGTGCATAGAGGACGAGTAGACCCGGGCCGGTGATTACAAGTGCCGAGGTTATCGTTGTCAAGTTACAGTGTCATTTACACATTGTTTTAGACACTCTGGGCTGAATTGTTGGTTAGTGAAGAAAAATATGGAGCTGTGAAGTTACAAGCAACCCTCTAGGAGAGTAGGGAATCGAGGTAATTCTGGTATTGTTAGTGCACGACTGTTTGATGGCTTGTTTTGAATTGAACACAGTGCTTGTATATGAGCCAGGCATACTCTGGTTAGACCCAGCTTAGTCTTGTAGATGTTTAATCTATGCTAGTAGTTACCACTATCCCAACCCTCTGGGATTCAATCCAGCCATTGTAGGCTGAGCTATTATCATTGTGATTATTTTTCCCCTCAGAAAAAGTACGCGACAAATTAGACTCCTAGACCTGAAATCTATGCCAAATATATCAATGCCAAATTATCTAAGGTTTCTTCATTCCAGGAAGAAGACAGGACCTTAGATCAATCATATGCCCCTGAAGTTGAGATAGAATCCAAAATTTGGATACTATCTCAGTCAGGTCTGGTGTGCAATTAATGAGAAATTCAATTTACTGTGTCAGAGCTTAATGAGAAAGGCTACTTGAAATAAACAGTGGATGGCTCCGGTAGGAAAGTTGACAATTTGGGTAGATTCTTTGTAAGTTGAATATTAAGTCATAATGTTGCCACTTCAAAAAGAATTATTGCTGAAGCCAAGTGACATCGTTATAAAGACAATAACCTCACTACATATTGACCTTGTTGATCGCCCATTCTACATCTCTAGGCC